TGGACTGACACTGAAACCACATTTTAATGTTGTTCACAACTAAATCCACTATGAAGATCTTCCTGGGGCCCTGTTGTTATCCAACAAAGCTTGTAACTAAGGTTTAAACATTGGTCTCATTTTGCTTTTACAGCCTAAATATCTTTGAACGCTGTATTTAAATGCTATCCTTTCCAGAGAATTCCAGAAAAAAATACAAGACTAAAGAAGGACAATTAAAAACAGAAGGCGCCGTGTTACAAAAGCAATTCAAAACTTGGATTAACTGTGTCTCCAGTCATGTGGTCACCCTTTACCCAGCTTTAGTACCCTAAACCTAGTCAGATTACACTGGCTGATGCCTTTACTTTGCAGTCTCTTCTCTGTAGCCTCTGTAGCGAACTAACGGGGAAAACGTGTCAGCCTTTGGACTGTCCTTATGTTCGCACGTGCAAAAGGTTAGAGGAAGGAGCGGAGCTACCCCCCGGGGGTGTGCAAGTCCAGGCAGCTGGTAAACAAACAGACTTATACCTGTCGCAACTTCACTGGCTCTGTTTTGGTTGTTGATCCTTAGCCGAGTCAGTGGTTACAGATCCTGGACAAGAAGGGACAACACATTGCTTTTAATGAACTTCAATCCACTCAGAATTTTAATTAAATGGAATAATACAATTTGACTCTAAATGTACTGACCTGAGTCACCTGTTGATCTTGTGTCCGGAATGTGCTGCTGAGCTTGATGCTGCTGCTGTCTACAATGAGAATAGTGCATTTATGAGAAGCTAAACCCCTGCATTACATACTGAAAGAATTGTAAACAAAATCATGTTAAAAAAGAATTAAGGTGCTGAACGTACCTTTCAAAGTAGGCCTGTCTCCTCTTTCTAAGTTCTTCAGCTGAAAGGTTGTCGCTAAGACCCTGTTGTCCTGTTGAACCTCCCGTGGCCTGATTCTCTAATCTTCGACTTCCTGCTTCAATTACTGAAGATTGATTACTCACTCCAGCTCCTAGCGAAGCAAAGGCTCAGGCTTAAGAACATTTAAAACAAGGGTGTGTATTGGCAAGAATCTGGC